TGGTCAGTTGAATGTATGGAAGAATACTCAGAGAGTGACACGTGGTAGCCTGTGTTAGGAAAGAATTCCCAGTGGCGCCAATGACATTGCTAGTGTCGTCAGGCCTCTGACACTTTACCCACAAAAGCGTACCTGGTCCAAGATCATGGGATCTTGAGCACTAAATGGCGCTAACTATAATTAATGTTAATACATCGCCACTAGCAATAGTGCCATAGTATTTGGCAAGTGCGATATCACATGAATGGCTCAAATTTCATCTAAAAATGACCAATGGTGATTATGAGATTGTTTTGCCGATAAATAAGGGGCATCCCCTCAAGCAAAAGGAGGAGTTTTTTAGTATTTTACGCAGAAGCTTTGCCGCTCTAATTTGGACGACCTAAAAACCAAACTTTAAATCCAAATCTAAAACCGTAGAATCATACTAAGCTTCATTCAACCCAAAGGCAGTCCGGATAACCCAACTTTATGGGCCCTCTTCTACCCATAGTTATTGGTCTGGTAAAAACCTAGAGGATCGAGAATAATCGTGCAACTACTACCTTTGAATCGTCACCAACTCTGGGTGCCGGGCCTAGGGACCCAGACTAAGGTATCATATTTTTTCTTTCTCTTTTTGTTTCATTAATGGAATTTATTAGCTTTCCTATATTTCAAAATTATTCATAAAATTCCCCCTCCCCCCCCCCCTAATTAGATATGAAAATAAATTTTCAATCCATCATAAAGATTTTTGATGCTGAAACGGCATCTTTCGATACTATTTGAAAGTACGCCTTACTTTGATAGTTTAGGGCCTCATCCTTATACAAACCACACCCTTTAAGATAATGCTTTTACAATGATATGCGGATATTAAATAAGTTTTAAACTATGTAAAAGAATTTAAAGCTTGTTTACGTCTTCCTTTGTTTTTATAGAAATTGGTTGAGTCGGTCTCTTTAAAATGCCGGCATATGTAACGAAAAGGTGACTTCTATTTATACGAGGGAAAAGAATTGAATTATAACAGAGGATTTATCTCTTTCGTGTTGATGGTGACACTGCTGAAAGGCCCGCAGCCCGGCCTTGAAAACTAGGGCTTAGGCAATTAGAGGTGGCGGTGGGAGGGTGGCCCAGCCCAGTTATCCCGGTCCTAAGAAACTAGGACCTGAGCCACCAAATATGGCCCAAGGGCCAGGCCAGGGCTGGGGAACCAAAGCCCAATGATAGGGCCGGGTCGGTCTTGGGTCAGGGGTCGCTCGCTTCGGCGTGGCCCAACCCTACCCTCCTCTGTGTTATTTACTTTTTTTCCTCCCATTTTTTTTAGCCCGGCCTGGCTCGGCGTTTATAGCCTTAGGGCAAGTCTTGGGCCAAGGGCTCGTTGGCCTGGTTAGGGCCAGGGCCATCCCTATGTGGACGAGAGCCGGGCTTGGCCCGCCCCGTTGCCCGCCCCTATCCTATAAGGCAACTTGAGCATGGCCCAACCTGAACCATGTTGAAGGGCTGTGGCCTAGGGCCCCAAGCCATTTTGGGCTTAGCCAGACCTAATAGACTCCACGAAAGAAATAAAAAAAAAAACAAAAAAATCAAACACAACACAAGGCCAGGTTTGGCCAGCCATGCCGTAGCCTTGGTCTGGGCTTTGTCCTTAGGCCACATTTTATGGCCTAAAACCTAGTTTTAAAAGACCACATCGCCTAGTCACAATAGGACTAACTTGGTCTGGTCTCCTAGAGCAGACCAGAGCAAGCTAAGGGCTGGGCTTAGTCCACAGTTCGCACGGCTTGATCCAGACTAGGCTGGCCCTATACATCACCACATAATCATTATAGGTCACAAAAAGTATAAAATCCACCGTGAACTTCCTTTGAAGCCTAATCCCAAAGAGAGGGACAGAACAGGAAAGTAAGATTACTGGATGCACCAAGCACGCTGAGAGACAGTAGCTTGGTGAGCAGAACACCGATCATGTAAAGCCGAGGAATTTGAAAATATTTGTCAAAGTTTTAGAGGCGTGCCATTTTTCACGTGGAAAATAGTTTTAAAGGGAAAATCAATGTTTTAAAACCTGTCCAATACGAAATGCCGATTTAGATGGGAAATGGCCAGGGAATGAACCAGATTTCAGCTCCCGCTTAAACCTCTTTCTATGTATATATATTTTTATTTATTATTATCTAACATTTTTTTAGACCCCTTTATATCTCAACTCATAAACGTCTACTTAAATTTTTATTTTATTTCATTTATTTTTTATATTTTTTTAGTTCACCAATTTAGACCTATCCAGACCCAATTCGAATCACTTATCTAATGATATAACACTAATTTGTGAGTGAATGATCCGCGCTATCAATCCAAGTTTTAAAAATATCAGAGTTGTGAATAAACGATCCACCCCACCATTCTGAGTTTTGAAATTATCAATCTTGAGCAAACAATTGCCCATCTAAAAAACTAATCCAGTTCGGCAAATTGACTGTTTGAATTGGCAATTCCACCAAGAGAACTAACTGATAAGAAGTTAAAAAAATATTTAGAGAACAAATATATTGAACAATAAAATGTGGGGCCGATTCTGGTGGGTTCATAAAAAAAACTAGCGAGTCCCCCTTGGTAGAATTCAGACCATCCCTCCGGTTCCTAATCTGGATCGCCGCTTAAAGTTTAAACCAGTGTTTAAAAAAACACCGAGTTGAACCGGACTCGCCCGGTTCGACTCGGGAATCGCCATGGACGGTTCGATTCTGTACAGTGACTCGCCGATTCACTGTACGGAATCGGTGAGTCCATACAGTGAAGCGGCGAGTCCCATACGGCAGAATAGAAATTTTTTTATTTTTTTATTTTTTTAAATTTTTATTTTTATTTATTTATTTATTTTTTTGTAATCAATGATAGATTTTTTTGTAATACTTGATCGATTTTTTTGTAATCCTTGATCGAATTGTTTTTTTTTTTTTTGTAATCCATGATCGAATTTTTTGTTTTTTTTTTTTTGTAACCCATGATAGAATTTTTTGTAATCCATGATCGAATTTTTGTAATCCATGATCGAAATGTTTGTTTTTTTCTTGTAATCCATGATCGAATTTTTTGTTTTTTTTTTTTT